AATCGTACCTGACAGTGAGCCACTGCAGACTGGTGTGAGAACAGCAGGTGATGGCAGAGAGTGATGGATTCAAATGATGTTTTCAAGGTGGTGATAGGAATGTGAAGAGATGCTGATGAATTGGTGCTGGGGACAAGGGGCCAACAGGGTCCTGCATATGCCCCCACACACACCCTGCTTCAGTTGACCACTGCTGCTCTTCTTCTAGGGTTAGGATTCGAGGGAAAATGTCCTGCTAGTGCTTCATCTGATGGGAGAGGAAGTGGGCAGGGTGTAGTCACACTCTTGTTGGGGAGCAGGAGAGAACAGGTTGGTATTCTTCTCACCATTTTACAGATGAGCAACTTGGAAACATAAATAAGTTGACTTGCCCAGTATCACAGGGTAAGTCTATAGCAGAGCTGGAAAATGAACCCAGAACTCCTGGCTCCCAGTCCTTAGTTCTAACTAGGTAATTACCTCAAATATCAGTCCTTAGTTCTAACTAGGTAATTACCTCAAATATCTGAATCCATGTACCATCCGAATGCTGTGTGTTGTACACATGCCTGGTTTACATCTTTCTAGTTCCCGCAGGTGATGGTCATGCCCTTCTCAAGCTGTTTCTCGCCCAAGTTATAAATACTTTGCTCTTTTATTCTCTCTTTAAGTCAGTCCCTTCAGCTCACAAATCCTATTTGCTGCTCTTCTCTGAAATTGTGCCAGTTTGTCTACATTTTTCTGGTACTGATGTGCACAGAAAGGAATGCACTATCCTAGGTACAGTCTCATCAGATCCAGAAAGAGCTGCTCTCGCCTATCTTCTAGGTTAGAGATGTGAAGAATCTGAATACAAAGCCCCAAATCATGTGTTGTTGGTTTTTTTTTGTATATTTTACCACAAGCTTGTTTCTAATTCTTGTAGACTCTGTAGGTCTATTGGTATTAATGCTTACCCTGCCTTGCAGCTTCTTCCTCTCCCAGATGTACGAGTTTGCATTGTTTCCAAAGTCAAACCTCAGTTTATTTCCTGTCCACATTTCTAACTTCTCTACAAGTATGTCTACACTGCAGCTGGCCTGTGCCAGCTGACTTGAGCTCCTGGAGCCCAGGGTAAGGGACTGTTTAATTGCCATGTAGAAGTTCAGGCTCAGCCTGCTAGGGGGGAGGGACCCAGAGATCAGGCTGCAGCCCAAGCCGGAACATCTACATGGCAATCAAACTGCCCCTTAGCCTGAGCTGCATGAGTACCACAGGTTTTTAATTGTAGATTTTTAATTGCAGTGTAGCCATAACCTATATCAGCCATAACATTCTCAATGACTGCAAAATCTTTTAATTGGCTTATTAGCATTATTGTGGTGTGAAAAATGTTTCTTTGGAGTCTGGACCTTGACTATACCTTGACCAAGAAATCTGGACCTCGACAAAAAATAATTGACCACCCATGGGCTACATTCTCCATTAATATGCTAACTTCTCACCCAGATATGGAATTAAAATATTTAATAAGACCTAATCTAGTTGTATCCCAGAAGGCACCTGCTGCCATACTCCCTATGGGTGAGAAGTATCCAGCAGCATAGTGGCTGTCTAAGACCCCTGCAGCTGTATAATTGCTATGGTTCCACTACACATGGTGAGGGCAGCTGCAAACTGAGTACATGGAAACGCTGAATTTTCTGGATATAGCCCTGAATGGAGCAGGGAGACAGCCCAAGGGGGGGATAAAACTATAGCAACTGGGTCTGCAGTTGTACAGACCCAGTGGCCACAAAGCCCTGTTTATGGAGTTGCAGCCTCTCTTTCAGAGCAGGAACTAGAATAGGGGCTGTGGACCTTATGTGATAGAAAGACTCCAGCCCCCTCCATATTTTTCTGCACAAAATGTATTTTCTCAACCTTTGTGAGAGTTTGGGGGTGAATTTCACCCTAATGCATTTGATTTTCATCCCTCTGGGCCAAATTTAATTTATAGTAATGGAATTGTGATATACATTTAGGACTATCCCCTACCCTCAGTCCAATGGCAGGTTTGTACGAAGATCAAGAGTAGAGTATGGCTTTCAGTAGTAATACAACTTCTAATTAGTATTTATACATGACTTTATTGACCCATTCACCAACACTCAGTGGAAGAATAGTCTACTCTTTAGACCACCACTTTCCTCTTTTTAATTCATCCTCCTTTTACTGTTACTATCCTTCTATCATTTCTTTCCCTGCAGCTATTCCTCATTCCTCTCCACTCTGTGGGCTTCATACCCTCATGAATGAGGCAGTGCTGCCATTAGAAGAGTTATCATTAAGAGTTAGAGTTAGCTTCCCTCCAAATTGGACTAACTTAGAGATGGAGGAGCTCACACCTTTCAGAGATTGGTTCAGGCTGCTGTCAAGCACAGGAAATCAATCACTATCAGTTCCCAGCCTGTTCGTATCTGGGAGGTTTTCTTCACAACAATGAGGCTTAGAAACTTACTTTTTGTTATTAAATGAAAGCTGAGATTCTGTAGAATCTGACCATAGCATGCAGTCCATGGAAATATATCAAATGGACCAGGTATTTGACACCAGAGCATGAAAATGTTAAGCATGATATATAGTCACAATGTGATATAGCAAGTGTGTAAAGGAACAATGAGTGGCATCAGATTGACACTCAAATGGGTCATCTGCAAAGTTGGAACATTTAGATCCATCACAGTCATCTGCCACTTGAGCTAATGCAGTAAAAGATAGCAGTAGGTTGTCATCTTCTATGTGGACCAGCACTAGATGGCAATGATACACACACTTTGCTAGAGCATTGTGGCGCTGACAGTTAGCCAGCTCAAAGAAGTATTAGGTGTACTAATTCACTTGTGCGTGGTTACCAAAGAGATGTTAAGTGGGCTAGTAGACATAGGCCCATTCACTTGTGCTGATAGGAATCAAGAGAATGTCAAGAGGCATTATAATGGGATCAAGCCAATTCACCTGTTAGAATAGTTCAAATAAATGTTAATGCTTTTGTGTACATATCTGTAACTTGATTTGCATTATATGTATACCCTATGCTTAATTAATCCTAGATCAGAGGTTTGTGTCAGTAGTAAGATGAGAATTTGCTTGATGTGTAAACTTCCTGAAAGCAAATGAATGTTATCTGTATTGTTTTCACTTATCTATCCCTATTAGAATGTAATGGCAGGCAACTGCATATGTGTATCACTAACTGGATTACTTGTGTATGCATAGGAAGTAAAATGTTAATTTCAAAACAAGTGGTCCTTGATGTGGTGACCTGAGGTGAAAAACTCAAAATGCACTCTTCATCAAAGGGAGAGCCTATGCTGTGAGTACAAGCATTTGCTTGGCTGCTTTTCAGGGGAAACCGCTCTAAAAGTGTGCCCTTGGACTGATCTATTTGGATGCTGTCAGGGGGCATTCCAGATACAAGACAGAGGTCACCAAAGACATTTTGGGAAACCCTGAGAGACTTATGGAAGCTAGCAGACATCACTGCTATCATTTTGGACTTACAAACTTTGACTCACCTGTTATGTATTGTGACAAAGTTCCTCCTCTATCTTGGTGGGTCCTGCGCTTATTGGTGGATTTTCTTGCCTCAGAGATTCACCATGTGGGTTGAGGAACAGCCCAGAGACCTTCCACTCTGGAAGAACCCACAGTCCCGGTCAATTGGGAGGTTTGGGGGGAACCCGGGCCCGCCCTCTACCCTGGGTTCCAGCCCAGGGCCCTGTGGACTGCAGCTGTCTATAGTGCCTCCTGTAACAGCTGCATGACAGCTACAACTCCCTGGGCTACTTCCCCATGGCCTCCTCCCAACCCCTTCCTTATTCTCACCACAGGACCTTCCTCCTGGTATCTGATAATGCTTGTGCTCCTCAGTCCTCCAGCCGCACACCATCTCACTCTCAGCTCCTTGCACCTCTTACTCCCAGCTCCTCACACTCACACCACAAACTGAAGTGAGCGCCTTTTAAAACCCAGGTGCCCTGATTAGCCTGCCTTAATTGATTCTAGCAGCTTCTTCTTAATTAGCTCCAGGTGTCCTAATTAGCCTACCTGCCTTAACTGGTTCTAGCAGGTTCCTGATTACTCTAGTGCAGCCCCTGCTCTGGTCACTCAGGGAACAGAAAACTACTCATCTAGTGACCAGTATATTTGCCCTCTACCAGACTCCTGTACCCCACTGGTCTGGGTCTGTCACAGTATATTACCTGCTTTAACCTCTCAACATCTTTCATTTCTTAGCTAATCAATCTTTAGTTTAGTTTACTAAAGAAATTGGCTTCAGCATTGTCTTTGGTGAGATCTGAAGTATACCCTGACCTCGGGTAAGTGGCTGGCCCGTTATGGCTGGGAATAACCGAAAGCGTGACAATTTTTGGTTTTAATAACCTTTCATCATTAAGTACAGTTTGTCTGGGTGGTAATATAGGCCGGAACGTCTAAGGCGACTGGCTGTGGCTCCATGGTAAGCTAGTACAGCGATCGAGAAGCACACATTTGTTGCTGGTTTGGTAAAATGTAATTATAGAATATACCCTGTTTTTTGACAGACTGACCTGAGATTCTGTGACCAGGGTTTCATAGACAGCAGAGGAATGGTGAAATTCAGGTACCTTGGGTTCTATTTGGGGGTCTGGAGGAAAGACAATTCTGCCCGTTTTCCCTCACGCTTAATTCCATTTCCACTATCCCTACTCCTCTCCAGGCTGTCTCTGTCCTATCTCTTCCCCCCCCCCCCCACTTGTCATCCTGACCTAGTCCCATTTTCTTCTTCTAAGCAGTCCTAGTATCCACTCAGGCTTCTTATCCCAGTCCCAGTCTCCTTCCTCAGCAAGTCCTAGTCTCACCCCTCTGGACTTCCTATCCCAATCCCATGTCCTTCCCCCGAACCACCCCAGTCAGTCTTCCCCCCAACCCCTATTTCCTCATCTGATTTCAGTTTCCTCCAAAAGTTCACACTGAATGCTAAAAACTGGGCTGACAATTGTCGTACATTTTTCAGTTTAATCTTTGCCTGCAGATTATTTAGCAATTTCTCATATACTGTACATTAATATGTATGTTGAGGGTTGTACTCTTTGGTGATTCTTTCTTATTCTTTACTGCTTTAACAATAAAATATTTGTGAAATTTAATATGAATCTGAGCAGTGTTTACATTGACTTGTTTGTTACTTCAGTACCTCCTGGATAATGATTTACTAATCAAAATGGTGCTCATTACATGTGAGATATTTTGGGTCAAACTCTGCAGTATCAAGGCCCTGAGTAATGCCTCATGGACAAGAAGTTGTTTCAAAGACATGTCTATATAGCCATTGGTATTTTTATTCCTCTATTGCCTAAAATAACCTATATTTCTGGTAATTCACATGACAGTCACATCAGAACTATGTCTGCTGGGTTTCCTGTTTTGGGCTGGCTCATTAAACCGAAGAAAGGGGGTTAAAAAAAAAAGAGAAAAAAAAAGACTGAATGGGCCGCTTAACTGTATCTCCATTTTTTTCAATTACATAAAAACAAAAAAAGAGAACAGAGATAAGCATGATGCAAAACTGTAGAGTATCACAGGAGTCGAACTGCACCAAAAAAAGTGCCATCTCCATCCAATGATATTTTGGCCCTTCTCCGTGGTATTGTAAGTTGAAGTTCATCCCCTTCTTCTAATTTTGCAATGCCTGGAAAAGAATTTGGAATATCTTTAAATAGGTATTTTACATATGGTAGTATTCTAATAGATTGTATTCAGAGAGTGTATTTTGTATTACCTAAACACACGTTATTTGCAATAAAAAATTTATATCATTAGGGCCAATCATGCAATCTTTACTCAGGCAAAGGTCACATTTAAATTCACCTATGATTTTGACCTTACATTTGAATATCATTCCCTAATGATTACATTCTGTTCTTAAAGAACTACTGCCACACTTCAGCAAAGTTACCATAAGCATAATAAATTGCCTTGTATTTCTTGTCCTCTAATTGGTGATTATGATGACATTATATACAAAGAATTTTTCCTTTCTAATTAGCTCCCTGCTACATGCATCATTTGGCGATGGCACAATCCGGTGTCCGTGTCTAAGAACAGCTTTTATTGTGGTGAGTTGTGATGCCATATACGATGAACTCTGGCATCAATGAATATATCAGGCTCTTTGGTACAAGGTAAATACACAGAAGAAAACATTCATAGAGAGAGCTTGCTAAACAACAATGATGGGAAAAGAAGTCTAGAGAAGTAAAGGCAATTAGAAGAGGTTTGGTAAAATATAGTCTGACGGGTTGCAACAATGGTTCTTTAAAACTTGCACAGGGGTTAGTAGAACACACATGTTTACTGCAGACTGCTGGAACTCTGCTAATATAAAAGTATTATTTTTGTATTGGTGTGCATATCTTGATTTACTTGCATGCAATGTTTCTGATGGGACTGTCAAACACACACTGCATTGGCCTAACTCTGTTTGCACTTAAGTCAATGATGAGACTCCAGTCATCTTTATTAGGAGCAGAGAGTTAAGGATGAAGAAGTCAGTATCAGCCTAAGATGCTTAAATCCATATTTGATTGACTAAAGCAGAACATAGATGTCTAAAATGGCTATTGTAGTATCTACAGTAAATACAGATTTGGGCATCTAACCATGAAAATTCGACTCTCTATGGAATTTCAACCATAAGAAAAATAGATGTTAATTGAGCACACACCAAAGTATGCCATACTTTTACTGGCAAGGTGATTTCTGAATCCATTACATTTTCACTATATGTAATCATGTATCACCACAAATTATATTTGGCACAGCTTTACTATAAATAAGAAGGGTAAAAACTCAGATATTTACCAGCAGTATAGCAAGAATTATTAGGATAAGAATGAGGCATGTTTTGGATACAACGAAATAATGTCACCAAACTGAGATCATCACCAAATACATGAGCCTTTTTCCTTTGTATTAGATGTCCCATAGCAAATGTTGTATCTGTATATAAAACCTGAAGAATAAAAAAGAAAAACTTCAGATATACACTGTGAAGCTGTTAAGCACCCTAAGTCCAATATTAAAGTGAAATGAATATTCCTACCTGACCATATATGAAAAAGTAACCTGCTTCTTTGACCAATATTTTATTTCCTTGCTCTTCCAGAGCTGTTCCTCTTTTAAAGCTAAGAAGCCATGGAACAATGCTTGAGTCATCTAAGAGAGAGAGAGAGAGAGAGAGAATGAGAATAATTTCTGGTAAGAAAAAAAAAATCAAAATTAGTTCCTTCTAGTTTCCTTTGGTCAAAAATCAACAATGCTGACCTCTTGAACAATAGCAAAGTTTAGAGAGGGGGATTTTCCAATTTAAATCGGGAGGAGATTTGCAAGACTTATCCAGATCCAAAATTTATTATTTTTTGTAACTGGCATTATATTAATCAGAATATTGCTTGTTAGTTAGCCTGGAGCTTGAGTAGAAAAATATGTGAATATGTGGAAGGCACTGTTACCTTTTTGTTGGATGTTACTTTTGCTATCAGCAATCAATTGCAGACAGGCCTGTAGCACTAAAAAGAAAAAAAGATTCCTTTTGTAATTAAAGAAAACAAATGAGAGGAAGTAATTAAGAGAATGGTTTAAGATCTTGGGAGGGTAAAAAAAGTGACAAAGCATACTCATGAGGGAAACACTCTTATTCTCACTATGTGAAAGCAGGATCTCCCATTTCTTCTTGTTGCAGATACTTGCCAGATATGCAGAACACCCACCAGATTTTCACATTAAAGGGTCCTGGAGAAATTCAGAGATCATGCAGCCAACCTTGAATACTATGATAAAACACTGGTCTTTCATCTCGGTTTCTTGTATACTTTAACAATGCAGTGTTAAGTCAAATGAGTTAGATGCTATCGGCTCCATTACTTTAGTTACATCTCTAACTGAAACCCCACCAGACAATTCTCAGTTGTGATGGATGTTAGGCTTTCAAAAGATTTTTTTTTTTGTAGTATTTGCAGGAGCTTTTTAGTTTCACATAATATTAAAAAAAATGCCAAGAGTGAAAGGAATGTAATATGAAATGAATTCGTAAACAGAGTAAGACTTCCCCATGTTCCAAAACAATAGGCCTTTAGTGAAATTGCCTAATCTAGAAAGTGCTGATACAATGTTTGTAAGAGAAATTGTTGCATTTACAGCTATAAAAAACTTGCCAAAACTCACCCATTGCTTTAAAGCTTTGATATTGCATGCATTGGATAGAAATACAGGATTCAAATTTAGTTAAAGAAAAATAAGAAATATTGTGGTATTTTAAAGTGTTGGATCGCAGCTAAATACAATTTAAGGCACTTTAAAAAAATCTGCCACGGATAAGTGCCAGGAATCATAATAAAGAATAAAGAAGACTATAAAGTTGCATTCACTAAGCACAGATCTCAGTTAAGCCTTATGTTTTACTGTTACTTCAAAGGATGAAAGTGTTAAATAAAAAATGTCTACAGTACTGTCCAGAAAGTGGATGAATGTGCTAATCTAGTAATTTATCAGAAACGAAGAGAAGAAAATCCTAATTTGTTGAATCTCACTTCCTGAAGCAGATAAACTCTGTGGGCAAATTCTGCCACCCTTCCTCATACTGCTCCACTTTTGCATATGTAACTATCTTTTAAAAGAAGGAGAAGAGATCTGGTGTCAGATGTGTGGTCCTGCTTCTATCACTGCTATTTCTGGTGGTTTTTATAGCATTTCTTTTTTACTAAAATACACTGGGCCAGATAGGCTGATTCATGCCAGCTGAGTAACACCATTGACTTCAATTAAACTATGCTTATTTGCACCTGCTGAAGATTTGGCCTTGTATTTTTATTACTACCACGTCACAAAACTACTCATCATTCCAGGACACTGCTCTTTAATTATTAAAGCAGTAATATCCTCAAGGTCTGATAACATCTGTGAAACTTTTTCATAACAAATACAAGTACCATGTCTATTATCACACATAACTTATTCCTAATTGTAACCTAAAGAAAACCATCTGTGTCAAGGCTGAATCCCCACTTTGAACCTTAGGGTACAAATGTAGGGGCCTGCATAAAAACTTCTAAGCTTATCTACCAGCTTAGCTTTGGTCCGCTGCCACCATCACAAGAATTCCCTCCCTGGGAAGCCTTGAGAAACCTTTCACCAATTCCCTGGTGAACACAGATCCAAACCCCCTTGGATCTTAAAACAAGGAGAAATCAATCTGGTTCTTAAAAAAGAAGGCTTTTAATTAAAGAAAAAGGTAAAAATCATCTCTGTAAAATCAGTATGGAGAATAACTTTACAGGGTAATCAAACTTAAAGAGCTCAGAGGACCCCCCTCTGTCTTAGGTTCAAAGTACAGCAAACAAAGATACACACTCTGGTAAAAAGGTACATTTACAAGTTGAGAAAACAAAGTAAATCTAAGACGCCTTGCCTGTCTTTTACTTACTAGTTTGAAATAGGAGAGACTTGTTTAGAAAGATGAGGAGAACCTGGATTGATGTCTGATCCCTCTCAGTCCCAAGAGCGAACCACCCCTTAAAACAAAGAGCACACACAAAAGCCTTTCCCCCCCCAAGATTTGAAAGTATCTTGCCCCCTTATTGGTCCTTCGGGTCAGGTGTCAGCCAGGTTACCCGAGCTTCTTAACCCTTTACAGGTAAAAGGATTTGGAGTCTCTGTACACAGAGAGCTGTTACCCTTCCCTTTATAGTTATGACAATCTGTTTGTCTAATCTTTGTGCATCTATATTCCTTGGAATATAAACCTTTACTTTTTGTAAGGAGGGGACAAAAGATGATGTAGTTTTGTTCACTGGTGCTAGAGCAAATGCTAACTGACAAATTAAACCTCTTATTTAAAACCACAAATTAAACCACAGCAGTGTCCAAGAAACCAAAGTCTAGTTCAGAACTACCAACAGCAACAGTTGTTTTTTTTTAAATTGTTCAAAATTCAGGAGCAACAGGCCCCGATCCAGCAAAATACTTTGCTTTGTTATCTTCAATGGGACTATTCACATGTTTAAGTACTTGCTGAATCAGGGCCATAGGGAGTAACATTACTGCTTGTTAAATAGGAAATAAGGAAGAAAACAATTTTCTCTGGGGAATCAGTATGGTTCCTCAGCAACACATGAGTTCTGATAGTCAATTTATTTCAAGAAGTAACGATGACTTACTCAGACTACAACGCCAAACACATACACACATAAATACGGAATTAACAAATAGTAAGTTAATAATAATAGATTGGAATGAATAAAAAAAAAACCTTATCTGAACACCCTAAACTCTGTGTAAATTCAGATCTGAGTTCTAACTTTGTGGGCTAAGCCCTTCCCTAATAAATGATAAATATAATAATAATTAATAATGTCACAATGTGTATAAAATTGTTTAAGATCATCTAAAAACATTATAACAACTGAAGAAAACAGATTACAACATCATGATGACAGTATGCATTGCATCTGGAGTATTCAAAACTTGCATAATCTCTTGGGACCTCATACAGAGAAGAACTGCTCTTCTTGTAAGACAAACTTTTTTCTAACTTGTATACCTCCCGGGGAAAAAAAATATAAAAACCAAGTTTCAGAATGTAATGTCTCTTCCCTGAGCTAAACGGATACTTCTGAAGTTAGAGACTTCAGGTGCATTAACAAACCACAGACAGAACTTAAAGGGATGTGGCCTATCTGAGCAACGCATGCTTATTTTCCAAAACACTAGGAAGGACTGTCCTGTGAGTCTAGTGATGCTGTTGCTCTAGCAACGTTTCTTACAGATGAGACTGCAGACTGGACTTATGTATACACCTATGCATGATCAGAGACTTCGTATCAATATTATCATATCCCCTCCCATGCTGGTTTTATAAAATCTTATTTGCATAGTTACCCATGTGCTAATAAGTTGGGACCTAACCTTCCAGTATATTAATTCTTGAAGAAATTTTCAAATGTGGGTGCCTAAAGTTAACTACATACGTATGGATTATGGTGCTAATTAAAAGTGGCCTGAGGTGCCAAACACTAACAATTCCCATTGATGCCAAATAGAGTTGGCAGAGTTCAGTAACTTTGAAAAAACAAACTACTTATGTAGGTGCCTAAACATGGCTTTAGGCACACAATTTAGGCATGCCTTAGGGTACGCCCGAGTTTGAACACATTGGCATTAGCCCCCTAAGTATCTTTAGAGAGACGCTTGCTAAAAGGATTTCCACACATCCCTTCTTTCTTTCATGGCCCTCATATATTCTCCGTGGACTTTCTGGAACATGCTTGAGTACTGTATTATTCTACATGAAGTGGGATTTTGTTTCTATCCCATTTTTCTTCTAAGGGCTGCTTGCTTTATTTTTCATCCATAGAAGGGAATGATGAAATATCCCTATATGATTCAATTGTGCATTTTAAAAACTGGTTAATCTGGCACTCAGTACTATAAATACTTCAGATACATAAACTAGTAAAGACAGCCTAATCCCAGTGTAAGGGCAGGTTAGTCGTATTTAGGGGATGTGACTCAGATCTAACATATATCCCCAAAATATTTGTTGCAGTATATTGATCTTAATAGATTGACAATTACTGTGTTATGTTCCACATAAGTGATTTGCTATGTAATTCACCCCAAATATTTTATGTACATATTAATTGCACATAATGGAATTTATTTGTCTTTTAAAAGGGAGAGTTTACTTTTGTGTAACTATTTTTGAGTGCCCAATATTTCACATAATATGCATAGTATTGATTCATCCAGGCAGTAAATTGCATCTTTCATGCTAAACTGCATGTCCTGGATTAAATCTCTTCATGCCATGTGGTCAAGGAGTGGTTGCTTCCTCTTTGACTTACATTGCTGTCAGCAGAAACAAAAAAACAAAAACAAAAATCATTTTTTTTCTTTTCCAGACCAGAAGTAGAACTTGAGAACTGCACCCACCTTTCCATAACATTTGCAAAAATACTGGGTATCCTCATGACCTGCTGGGGGCATTATGCTAGTCACCCTTTTTTTCCCCTTGGGGGATGGCAGGCAAAGATTGGCCAAGGCAGGGTGGGTTTTTTCATCTTCCCCACAACAGGTCTGGAAACCAGTGGGGAAAGGCACGAGGGTTAGGTTATAATTAGGGCTCCGCGTCTGTCCTGGAGGTTGCAGAAGTCATGAATTCCATGACTTCCCTTGACCTCCATGACTTCTGCAGAGGTCAGTGTGGCTGGCCCCAGCTGCCCCAGGGACAGACACACCTGCTGCTGCTGGAGTGGTTCTGCAGCCAGCCACACCAGCTGCTGCTGAAGCTGCCCCAGAGCCAGCCACTGCTCCCTGGCTGCGGTCCTGGGGGCGGCTGCAGCAGGGGTGGGAATGGGGTGACCCCCAGCAGCTGGTGCCACTGGACCCGGGTCATCCCCCCACCCCCAAGACCAGCGTCCCCACAGCTAAGATTTAGTCAGGGGTATTTATAGTACAAGTCATGGACAGGTCACAGGTCATGACTTTTTGTTTATTGCCCATGACCTGTCCA